CTAGCCCTTCCTCTTCCCCCATCTAATTTCCTGGCCATGTTTCTACTCTGCAGAGAGCCTGGCAGGGAAGCAACTGGAAAAAGCTTTCCTTGGCTGTCAGCTGCCCCTACTTTGCTGTTCTTGTAGCCCCACAGCTGGGGTGACATAAGACTTGCCACTGACCAGTAAACACAGAAGAGCTAAGCCAGGATGCCAGTGGGGAAGGCGTCTCCAGAGCTGGTCACATTCCCTGGTCCCTCACCAGGGATGGTGGCCTCAAGAGCTATTCTCTCCTCTGCAGTAAATGAAGGCTCTGTTCTGAATGCTTTATGTATGAACTCAGCCCTCATGACTCTGAAGGAGATGCTGTTACCTAGTCCCTCCTTGTATCTAGGAAACAGATACAAGGAGGTAAAGGGACTCACCTAAGGTTGCTCATTCGTAAGGCTAAGAGCCACGATCCAGGCAGCTCAGCCCAGAAGGCTCTTAGAAGTAGCCAGCCCTTCCAGAACAGGGTACCATAATCCTGAGTGGAAGCAGAGCTAAGCAGGGTGGGGCAATAGAGAGGCTGGAAAGAGAAGGTACAGATAAGAGCAGCCGAGAGCTGGAAAGTCAGAAGCGGGCCCCTGTGTTCTCAGAGGGAGCTCTGAGGTTAGAAAAGCCACCCTCCTACACATTAGGGAACGATCATGTAAAAGTGAACAACGGGAAAGTATCAAGGCCAGATCTCATACAAAGTTGCAAGATAAAAGAATGATGTGGAAAGTGTACCAGGAAAACATAAAACTGTAACCCCTTTCAAAACGAGGTGAGACATTAAGGAAACAATGCAAGGCTTGAGGACAGCAAACCAGAGTTGTAACCCCAGGCAGTCCGAGTCAGAATTCCTGCCCTGGGACCATGCTGCCTTTTGAGAAATACAGTACCTGACATTCTATCAAGGTTCCAGTGCTGACAGTACCACTAATTTGCTGTGTGGCTCTGAAGGACTCATTGTGCCTATCTGGGTTTCAGCTAATTAGAGCTACAGTGTCCAATATGGGATCAGCCAGCCACACTTGGCTATTTAAAATTAATTAAAATAAAAAATTTAGTTCCCGCCAGGCTCGGTGACTCAGCCTGTAATCCCAGCACTTTGGGACACTGAGGTGAGTGGATTGCCTGAGCCTGTGGGTTCGAGACCCAGCCAGGCAACTTGATGAGACCTTGTCTCTACAATAAATCAAAAATTAGCTGGGCATGGTAGTGTATGTCTGTAGTTCTGGCTACTTGGAAGGCTGAGGTGGAAAGATTGCCAGAGTCCAGCAGGTCAAGGCTGTGGTGGCCGGGAGTGTGCCACTGCACTCCAGGCTGGGTGACGGAGTGGGATTCCAACTCAAAAAAAAAAAGAAAAAGAAAAAGAAAAATTTAGTTCCTCTAATGAGTTAGCCACATTTCCGATGTTTAGTAGCTACATATGCTAGTCCAAAGACAGTGGAAATTTAGAATATTCCCTTCATTGTAGAAAGTTTTATTGGATAATGCTGAGTTAGAGGGTTTTAAAACAGGAACCAGGCAGGACAATGGCCCTGGCTGAAAGACAATAGGGGGTAGTGAGGACTGTGGCAAGCAGGAAAGCTTAAGTCCCATCTAAAGGGGGCAACTGCTACTTGGCTCTCACCAATTTTGCCATATGGAAATGTAGGTCCAGTGTTGTGTTGCTGGTCTCCTAATTCTTTAAGAGATGCAAGAATCAATCAGGAATTTGTGAAAACTCATGATTTCTTTCTTTCTTTTTTTTTTTTTTTTTTTAAGTTGGAGTCTCACTCTGTCACCCAGACTGGAGTGCAGTGACATGCTCCCGGCCACTCCAGCCTTTACCTGCTGGGCTCCAGTGATCCTTCCACCTCAGCCTTCCAAGTAGCTGGAACTACAGGCGCATGCTGCCATGCCCAGCTAATTTTTTGATTTATTGTAGAGATGAAGTCTTGCCAAGTTGCCCGGGCGGGTCTCGAACCCGCAGGCTCAGGCAATCCACTCAGCTCAGCCTCCCAAAGCGCAGGATTACAGGCTGAGCCACTGAGCCCGGCAAACTCATGATTTCTAAACAAAAAAATTAAGACAGGGTATGGTGGCCCACACCTGTAAACCCAGTACTTTGGGAGGCTGAGGTGGGAAGATCTTTTGAGGTCAGGCGTTCAAGACCAGCCTGGGCAACATTGTGAAACCCCCATCTCTACAAAACATTTTTTTTAATGTATTTATTTATTTTCCCACCCCGGCCCACCCCAATATTTTATTTTATTTATTTATTTATTTATTTATTGAGTTGGAGTTTCACTCTGTCACCCAGACTGGAGTCCAGTGGTCGCTTCCGGCCACCGCAGCCTTGACCTGTGGGCTCTGGCGATCCTTCCACCTCAGCCTTCCAAGTAGCCAGAACTAGAGGTGCACGCTACCACGCCTGACTAATTTTTTGATTTATTGTAGAGATGAGGTCTCGCCAAGTTGCCCAGGCAGGTCTTGAACCCATGGGCTCATGCAATCCACTTACCTCAGGCTCCCAAAGTGCTGGGATTACAGGCTGAGCCACCGAGCCCGCCTCACCCCCAACATTTAAAAAAATTAGAAGGGTGCAGTAGTGCACACTAGTAGTCCTAACTGTTCAGGACACTGATGCAGGAGGGTTGCTTGAGCCCAGAAGTTTAAGATTATACTGAGCTATGATTGTGCCACTGCATCCAGCCTGGGTGATAGAGCGAGACTCTGTCTCAACAAAAAAATAAAATAATTGCAAATTTTTGGATTGTGTGAATCAAGTAAAACTCTTCTCTGGACCTCGCCTGGCCTTGATTCTGTCATTTGTGGCTCCTGTCTATCTTCTGTCTGCCAGGCCACTTTCCTTTTTATTTATTTATTTATTTATTTTTTGAGCCTGAGTCTCCCTCTGTCACCCAGTCTGGAGTGCAGTGGCACACTTATGGCCACTGCAGCCTTGACCTGCTGGGCTCAGGCGATCCTTCTACCTCAGCTTTTCAAGTAACTGGAACTATAGGCACACGCCACCACACGTGTCTAATATTTTACCTTTTGTAGAGATGAGGTCTCACCATGTTGCTCAGACTGGTTTTGAACTCCTGAGCTCAGATAATCCTCTTGCCTCTTCCTCCCAAAGTGCTGGAATTATAGGCGTGAGCCACTGCACCTGGCGCAGGTCACTTTTTATTCTCACTTGTATTTTTCATCCGGGTTGGAAACTTGGTGGGTGGTAGAATAGATAAGGAGTCACTTCTTCAAAGTTATCTGAGGTCAGGGTTCTGAGGTGCTTAGTCAACTTGATTCCATTTGTATGACTCAAAGGGATGTGTTCAAAGTCCAAAGGGTGTAGAGGTGGGGATGGGAGTTAGGTATGGTGTGTGACATTCCTGAATAGCCAAAGCACTGGAGGAAACCGCCAAAAGCAGGTAGGATGGAAACCAAGTACTGTGACTCACACCTATAATCTCAGTGCTTTGGGAGGCCAAGGCAGGAAGATTCCTTGAGGCCAGGAGTTCAAGATCAGCTTAGGCAACATAGCCCAGATCCTGTCTCTACAAAAAATTTGTTTAAAAATTAGCCAGGTGTGGCCATGTGCTCTTTGAGCTATGGCTGTTACTGTGCTTCCTGGCTTTGGCCCCTTCCCCACCTTGGGGAGGTGAATCTTCTCTCTCCCTTCTCTTTCTCTCTCTGATTTACTTTTAAATAAACTTTTCTTAAAAAAAAAATCTAGGCTGGGCTCGGTGGCTCAGTCTGTAATCCCACGCTTTGGGAGGCCGAGGTGAGTGAATTGCCTGAGCCTGCGGGTTTGAGACCCGCCTGGGCAACTTGACGAGACCTCGTCTCTACAATAAATCAAAAAATTAACCGGGTGTGGTAGCGCATGTCTGTAGTTCCAGTTACTCAGAAGGCTGAGGTGGAAGGATCGCCGGAGCCCAGCAGGTCAAGGCTGTGGTGGCCGGGAGTGGCCACTGCACTCCAGTCTGAATGACAGAGTGAGACTCCAACTCAAAAAAAAAAAATTAACCAGGTGTGGTGTATCTGCAACCCCATCCATTTGGGAGACTGAAGTGGGAGGTTCCCTTGAACCCAGGAGGTCGTGACTGCAGTGAACTATGATTGTACCACTGCCTTCCAGCTTGGGCAGCAGAGTGAGACCCTGTCTCAAAGGGGGGGAGGCAAGTAAGAAGGGAGTTGGGTGGAATACAGTAATCATTGACCCCGTTTCCCTTTCTCCCCAGCCCTGCGAGCAGGGAGCTGAGGGTAACAATAGACCAGAGAAAGAACTAGGGAGGAAAGGACTAGAATGATCTACCATGTTCTGAGTCAGCTGGTTTTTTGGGAGCATCAGTTCTGTCAGGGATCCCCTTCATGAGAGGTGGACGAGGTCTTGACAGTATACCTACCCCAGGATTGCTTCAAGCACAGGAAAGGGGAAGGTGTAAACAAAGATCATGCAAATAATCTTCTCACCCCTCCTCTCCCCAGTCCTAACCACTAGACCAGGGACATGCAAACATCCTTTGGCTTTGAGTTCACATTTGAATACAGCCAGGCCCTGGGGATCCCCTGAAATAAAGGCTGCCTGCCTCTAGAGGAGCCAGAGAGCACCTTAGAACCTGCCCCGTTCTACTCTGGACAAGGCCTCACTCTGCTCCCAGCATGGTCATTTCTACACCTTAGGGACCACGCACGTTTTTATCTAAAGCCCTTTTCCAGTGCTTTAAGCAGTGTCGGGGAGGTAATTGATGGGAGTGAGGGAAAGGAATTGGTAACAAACCTTCTGTGGTTAATGGCATTAAGCAGTTCTTGGCAAGGTGAGGTCTGGATGGGCTGTGTGGTCCTGGATGCGGAGAAGAAAGGGAGAGGTGGGCGTGGAGACAGGGAGGGTCAGATAATCTGAGCTGGAGAAGGAAGGGCTGTATGCTGTGCACAGCTTGTCTTCAGCCTCAGGCCCCTGTGCTCATCTCGGGTCCTCTTTCCCCCCCCCGCCCGCCGCCGTCCAGCATCCTCTGGTTAGCCTTGGAGTTAGGAGTCATCATGGCCAATGAAGAGTCCATCATCCGCATCCCCCCGTACCACTACATCCATGTGCTGGACCAGAACAGCAATGTGTCCCATGTGGAGGTCGGGCCAAAGACCTATATCCGGCAGGACAATGAGAGGTTGGTGTGGGGACTGGGCAGTGGGTGGGAGCCTCTGGGCTGAGGAGGGCCTGTTAGTGTGGTTGGCATGGCTGTCCTCCTCTTCCCTGCTCCCGGGCAGGAGTGGCCCTGGCTTAGGTGCAAGGAGGTTTCTCTCCCTTCTTTGGGAATGGAGACCTGGGCTCCTGGGTTCTCACACCCCTTCTCATCCTCCAACAGGGTACTGTTTGCCCCCATGCGCATGGTGACCGTCCCCCCACGCCACTACTGCACAGTGGCCAACCCTGTGTCCCGAGATGCCCAGGGCTCGGTGCTGTTCGACGTCACGGGACAAGTACGGCTTCGCCACGCTGACTTGGAGATCCGGCTGGCCCAGGACCCCTTCCCCCTGTACCCAGGGGAGATGCTGGAAAAGGTACCTGGCTTCCCTCCCCTCTGCCCACCACCCTACCTGCCCTCTACCTGTTCTAGGGCTCTGTGCTGCCATCTGAAGGGAAAACAAACCAGAGCAGTGGGAGAGAGTGGGGAGAGGCCTTGCTGGCTCTCCCCAGGGGCAGAATTGACTCACTACCCCTCCACTCACCTTCCCCAGCCACTCCTTCCTCACAAACAAGTTTGCCCCTCTGAAAATTGTCTCACTACCTAATCTCCCATAGGCCTGGGGCCTGGGCCTGAGCAAGTGGGCACGCCACTTTCATCTCCTTAGCTGTTCTCCCGCCTTTCCCTTCTTGCCATGTCTGCTTTTTTTACTCTGAGTTCCTCTACTGGCCAGCTGCTTAATCCTAAATGCGTAGCACCATGACCTGGGGAGCTCATGTCCACTTAAAAGCAAACAGTTTGGGGAAAGAAGTATATGTGTAGAGAGAAAAAAGAAGAATGATTTAAACCATAGCCTTACTTTGGGAGGTGGAGGCAAGAGGATTACCTGAGCCCAGGGGTTCTTCAAGACCAGCGTCAGCAACTTGATAAAACTTCGTCTCTACAATAAACAAAAAAAAATTAGCCAGGTGTAATTCCAGCTACTTGGAAGGCTGAAGGATCACCTGAACCCAGCAGGTGGAGGCTGTGGTGGCCATGAGTGTACCACTGCTCTCTAGCCTGGGCAACAGAGTGAGACTCCTATTCAAAAACAAACAAAAAAGCAAAAATAACAATAGACTTTAAGGAAGCTGGTGAAGAGCATATAGGGGTTTTTTTTTTGTTTTTTTTTTTGAGTTGGAGTCTCACTCAGTCACCCAGACTGGAGTGCAGTGGCATGCTCCCGACCACCACAGCCTTGACCTGCTGAGCTCTGGCGATCCTTCCACCTCAGCCTTCCAAGTAGCTGGAATAGAAGTGTGCACTACCACACCCGGCTAATTTTTGATTTTATTGTAGAGATGAAGTCTCACCAAGTGCCCAGGCGGGTCTCGAACCCGCGGACTCAGGCAATCCACTCACCTCAGCCTCCCAAAGCGTGGGATTACATGCTGAGCCACCGAGCCCAGCTGAAATGAAAGGTTTTTTGTTTTTTTTTTAAAAAACGTATCCAGGTAATACTTCAGACCAACTAAATCCCCGTCTGAGTGGGAGTGGTGGGATAGCAAGTAGTTAGGTACCTTGGGCTGAAAATAGGGCTCCCTGCTTTATTAAACCTTGGCTTCCCAGCAGACGCAGCCTATGCACTCCAGGCCAGGAGGGCAGCAATGCCACGCTCATGTTCCTTTCCACTTGGCCTTCCTGACCTCAACTCTGACCCTTCCGACTTCTGTTGTGCTTTAGCTCCCACCCAGTATTGTGTCCACCCTGCACTTGGTTACCCTCCCACCTATCCCACCTCTGAAATCTGAGCTCTAGCCTCTTCCACCTCCCTCCCTCCTCTGTTGTCATGGTCCTCAAGGCTTCTATCCCAGTATTCTCTCCTATCCCTCAGTCTTTCTGGTTTTTTTTTCTTTTTCTTTTTTTGAGTTGGAGTCTCACTCTGTTGTCCAGGCTAGAGTGCAGTGTCATGCTCATGGCCACTGCAGCCTCAACCTGCTGGGCTCAGGTGATCCCTCTGCCTCAGTCTTCCAAGTAGCTGCAACTATAGGCGAGTGTTACCACGCCCGGCTAATTTTTTGATTTATTGTAGAGACGAGGTCTCACCATGTTGCCTAGGCTAGTCTCGAATCCATGGGCTCAGGCAATCCTCTCGCCTCGGCTTCCCAAAGTGCTGGGATTACAGGCTTTAGCCACCACACCTGGCCTAATTTATCATTTTTTGGTTTTTTTTTTGAGTTGGAGTCTCACTCTGTTGCCCAGACTGGTGTGCAGTGGCTGCTCCCCGCCACCGCCGCTT